AACATAAATTTTGCATCCGTCAGTCCAAGAAGTATACGAAGGAGAAGAGCGTCAATTTTAAACAGAGTAAATTACCAACTCGTCAATTTTGACAGGGTTTCGACGACAGAACGTGCGAGTGTCGCAAGCGGAGACTTCACAACCGCACTAAACTGTCATTATCTTATCTTATAAAACAATCATGTGAATCCTCTTGCCTCAGTTATTACGCATATTTGCTGTAAATAACGCAAATTAAACTAAACAATTACTGGATTCTCAAGGGAAATGACAGATCACTATAGTGTTTATTTCGTGTCTTATAATTCATCGGAAAACAGGAATTTACTCGGAAAATTTTCAATCTCGTATAAAGAAAGTCCCCATGCAACCTGAAACGTGTATTAATTAGCACTGAAACTCTATAACTTTCACCATAAGTCAATTTCCTTCTTAAGCATATTCCTCCTGAATGGAGTTGCGCAGCGGCAACGTCACGAAGAGCATGTATACTGTTACTTCTCTTGTCGAATGTTCTCCAGTATTCATTTGAGATTCATCACCACGCCCGATAACCACGAAGCACGAACAATGGCCAAGTGAATATATAATTTGGCGTAAAAATTAACTTAAAAAATATACTTCTTCCAATAAATAGTGAATATGTGCTTCCCTGTGAGTAAAATTGTTTGAAAAATAATAATACCCAGCAGCTTAGCAGCCCCTCGTCAAAAGAAGCTTAATCACGTATACATAGACCGATCAGAGCACTCATTGGCCTAATGCTCTCCATAGGAGTCGTACAATCTCAATACCTATTACATATCCATGCCCGTTATGCTATCTGCTATGCCGTTATATCATCTTCTATATGAGACCGTTGTTACTCATTGATGCAGGTTGCTGATCTACCTATATTATACCTTCAGATCGACTGCCACTCGCTTTTTCTTTCATTTCCATTTTCCACCTCCCATTTTTCAATACTTCCATTCAATTATTAGATCGGCATTTACACTTTTCAACATCATGCTAGCTTATGGAATCGCCTCTCAGGATCGTACAATTAAGAAGTAGTACGATCCTCTCAGGATCTGGGCCTATACTTTCAAAACTCGCTCAGTGAACGTAAGTACTTACGCTCTATTTTCTTGTCTATGATTGGTGGATTTTGGTTGAAAGGCCGTCAATGATTGGCTGATGAACTTACGATCTCATAACAGTTTTTTGAAAATATGGGCCCAGTACTGCAATGCAGTATGTACGAATACGTTAGCCAGGCGCGCGATGCAGCCATTATAGAGGCTCCACAGCGACGGCCATAAATTTGTGGCAGCCTGTCGCTGTACAGGGAATCGATTTTCTCGCTGCATTTTCATGATCGTCGCCTTCTCTGCTTCGAATATTAACGAGAAGATAGGGAAGACTTTACCGATATTTATGCGCTTAAGATAAGCCTTCGGCTCACAGAGTGCATATGCGATCGAGGCGCATATGCGACGTGCGAAGCCTGAGCAACGGTGTCAGCACTCATTAATCATTGACGTCTTTAAGTTGCGGGATCAATACTGGCGTTCAATTCCTCGAAGGTCTCGGAAATGAATTGCCTGCATCAGCTTATCATGAACGAACTGTTACTCACACCGACAAATCAACGCAGAAATAACTATTGATGTAACAACACAAGCTTAAAATTAAATCTGACAAGTAAATGCAGTAGAAGTAGCTTCATTCCCGTCATCGTGATGAATGAATTAACTAATAATTAACGATAGCAGAACCTAGCTTCCACAGGATCTATAACTTTGCATGAACAGACCATTCATGTTTACCATGTAGGAGAAAGATATTTAATACGTGAACGGCGATATGCTGGTTATTGTCCTTATGAAGTGTAAATGACTTGAAGAGCATTTTTATTCCTGAGCCCGTTATTGAACCCCAGCTGCCATCTGCACGGCTCTACCGCTGGGCCCCAGCTGCCATCTGCACGGCTCTACCGCTGGGCCCCAGCTGCCATCTGCACAGCTCTACCGCTGGGCCCCAGCTGCCATCTGAACGGCTCTACCGCTGGGCCCCAGCTGCCATCTGCACGGCTCTACCGCTGGGCCCCAGCTGCCATCTGCACGGCTCTACCGCTGGGCCCCAGCTTTCGCCTGGCCCAGCTGACTCAGCTGTCCTCCCCGCGCGTCACGTCGAGGCGATCAGACGAGACGTGACGGCGTCAGGGTCTCAAGCCCCCTCTTCCCCAACCCATTCATCTGCCCCCGCATCCAAGCATGAACTTCACCAACTCCCCTTCCCTTCTCTTTACTATCCTCCCCACCAAGCCTGCTAAACTTGCTAAACCAGACAAATCCTGTCATCCCTTCCCTCTTCCTTGAACAGCCTATATGTCAACAGTCCATTCTACCACAACAACAACAGTCCATTCTACTCCCATAACCACCTACAATTTAGTTTTTGATTTGCCTGTTATCTGTGAAATGAGCGAGCCTTGTTTTGCCGTCCATCATCAACCCTCACTCCCCCCCCCCTTCCCTCTGTTGTCTGTGAATGGCTGACGTCCCTCATCCCCTCGCCTTGGAAGCTGCTCCCTTCTTTGGCACGCCACCAACCGCCGCCTCCTGATGTGTGGTGTACAGACACCGCCACGCCGCCAACCGCCGCCTCCTGATGTGTGGTGTACAGACACCGCCACGCCGCCAACCGCCGCCTCCTGATGCGTGGTGTACAGACACCGCCCCGCCGCCAACTGCCTCCCACGCACGGAGGATTTACGGTGACGAAGGAACTCTCCCACGCACGGAGAATTTACGGTGACGAAGGAACTCTCCCACGCACGAAGGACATTTGGCAGCGGTGAACACAACAAACGCAACATTCTAGCCCTGTACATTTAAAACATCATCTTTCCTCTTAGTTCATGGATGGCTTGCTACTTGACAATAACATAAATTTGAAAGCAACGCTTTCTAAACTACAACTTTTTCCTCAGTCAAGGCTGAACTGCTACTTAATTATCCGCTCAGTCTTAGAAGCAACGCATTTCAAGCGTCAACTTTGTACCCAAGCTAAGCCCGGAAATCCATTTAATCCGAGCTCGGCTCATAAGAAGGCGCTTCAAGCGTTCACATCGTAGCCTCCACCTAAGCGGCTCAGCGTCAACGCTCTCTTTAGTCCGCCAACATTCTTCTCAATGGCGTCGCAAACTGCAGCTTATTCTCAAATATATTCCTGCCTCGGCATGCCTTACAGCCTCAGTCATGCAAGATGTTTAGAGTTGAGAAATGAGGTTTTATTTTATTTCAGCTATTCGTAAAGTCTTTGACTGAAACTGTGTTTAACCAATCGACGGGGTAAATATTTTCAATTGTGTGGAATCGCTTAGATACATATATTTTCCGCTTGTGGAATAAGCATTCTTATCTGTGGAAAATCTAATGAATATGTTGTATCACTAAAAAAATTTATTTAAATACTAATTTTTTTATGTCAACGTGTGTAACGTCTTCATGTTGCTAAAGTCCACGGAAAACACACCAAATATTTAAGTTACTTTACCCGATCCCTGCAGAAACAAATAGCGAGTGCAATGCGACAAACGTCTCCGCTGCGTATAAAAAAAAACATTCAAGAACATTGTAACGCCATACAAGCCTTGAATTAGGATTCATTGCTATACAAACGTTAGTGTTTACGTTTCTATAGCCCCGTGCTTCCAGAAAAATGATTTTGAACGCGGATAGAAATATTTTTCTATAATATGCTCCATATAGTAGTGTATAAAAACAGCAGAATAAGGGATAAATAACCTTCATTGAGTGAATGAAACAATGCCCCACGGATTGTTGCATAGCTTGATAGTTTGCGACTAGCTTTAAAGTTTAATAAAAATGTTAGGAACTTTGATACACCACTTGTAGTTTTGGAAAAAAACACACAGGTTTTTAAGCTTATTCTGATAATTTTGAACCAATGCGTTTTTTGCTTTTCGTCATAGTGTTAAATTGATTGTCGTTCTGTGAAACTACTGCACGTGATTGCACATTGGAACTATTACACTTTTATGGCAACGCTTCCGCTTTTCAACACAGCCAACACAACACCTCCCTCAACACCCAGTAACGCAGCACAACCACAACAGACACGACCAACACAACACCTCCCCCAACGCCCAGTAACGCAGCACAGCCAACACAACACCTCCCCCAACACCCAGTAACGCAGCACAGCCAACACAACACCTCCCCTATTGCACTTGGTCGAGGACTGCCAAGTGTAATACCTCGAGGTATTGCATTTGGTCGAGGACTGCCAAGTGTAATACCTCGAGGTATTGCACTTGGCCAAGGACTGCCAAGTGTAATTCCTCGAGGTATTGCACTTGGTCGAGGACTGCCTTGATATAAAAATCTGGATGGATATTTTATTTTTAGTGAAGAAGTCACGTTGACCTGGAGAGTCGTGCGTTTTTTCTGGACTTGTTGTATATGAATTACTCAACGATCCAGATTCTAGTCTGTTATATGCGATCAAATTATTAGTGGGTGAGTTTCGCAAGCGACTTCATCATAGGTTCTATGTCGCAAACGTACGAAATGGGATTGATTCATTTTTTTGTTCTCTCAGTCGCAAGAGGCAAATAAATTACTATAGGTTGTGCAAAGTAACAATTAAAATTCATCTTTCCCAAAGAATGAAGCTATTAGCAAGTTTTCTATGATGAAACAAAACCTTCTTTTCTGCAAGGGAGAGGGGGAGTTGAAACATTAAGAACTAGTGCTCTAAAACAAAGATAGAAATTAGGTGTCAATGGAAAATACTGGTTCACTTATTTGTGACGTTTTATACCATTTTAAAAGCCTCAGAAAAACATCCAGACTATCACAGTAAACGATACTATCAATACAACACTGAAAGATTTTTCATCAGAACTCCAACCTGTCCTATTGCTAGAGCAATGATATCGGTGACATCGAGAATTGAAAAAATGCGCATTGCACAGGCGCAAGACTCACCGATGTTGACCACAGCTTGGTTGGTTAGCTCCCAGCATGAGTGGAGTCTGAGGATGGATAGGGAGGCCGTTTGACGGGGACTGAAGAGCGCGAGCGCCGCGTCGGTGACGTGGTAGGCCTGAAGGCTGAGCTCGTAAAGTGAAGGCAGCAGCTGCGCCACGGCCCCAATGGCCTCATCTGCCACATTTATGCAGTCGGCCACGGCCAGCGACACGATGCGAGGATGCAAAATTGCCCACAGCCCGGCCTCGGTAAGCTCATTACAGCTCTGCAACTCCAGCTGATACACGCCACCCAGATGCTCTAGCAAGGCTTCCAGCCCTTTGTCTGAAACACTGCAGCAACGCAAGGCGACGCAGCGCAGAGCTCTGGTGTGGTTCACGGCGTAGTTTGCCACCAGGTCCATGAGGTCAGAGTCGGTGGCACAGACCAGAACCAGCGAGTCGAAGCCTCTCATCTGGACAGACACGTAAAACTTGCGCCGCATCTCGACGGTCTGTTCCTCAGTGTCGGCTCTTACTTCCTTACAGTGAAGCACTGCTCTGGTAGTACGCCAGTAACTTGGCTGGTAAAGAACTGTTCGCCATCTTAAGCAAACTTGTGCAGCTACGGCGCGCTCGCTGCCTGAGAGGTACTGAAATAATCGACTTAAGAAGTTTTCATCTTTTATGAGCTCATCCCAAGTGAGTGGCTTACGCTGTAGCCGAGGGGTTCTCCTAGTTGGTCGTGGGGAGGTGTGAGGGGTGCTGCTGCTGCAGGTCAGTCCATTGCTGCTTCGAACTTTCCCCAATAGAAATCGACCGGATTTTTCTGGAGGTCCACCTTTTTCCACTTTTGCATTCCTGCTACCGAGAGAATTTGCACTGTTATTGCTGTTGCCGCAGAAAACGTTGGCAACTTTTTCAATGACACCTCCCCTTCGTACGGACCCCATTCTCCCTGCCGCCTCCCTCAGCCTCACCCCCGCCCTCTCCACTGCCTCCTGAGCTCCAACGGACATTCACTTCAAGAAATTATCCTCATACTCGGCACAATAATGCTCGTGTTATACGTTGTTAAACAAAATAGGCACTACACTTATTTCAGTTATCGTTTCTTGCACTAACAAAGCTTGAACTCCACTGGAACGCTGAACTGGAAGCACCTCACCTGACAACATCCAGACGGATACTGAGAGGGTCTGGACTCTAGAGGGCCACGAGAAGTGCCGTGACCCTCGGCGGTGTCATCGTATCAATGGAGTTGTGATCTGCAGCTCAAATGGTCACTATTTAAAGTTCTATAACAATGTTCATTCTTATTAAACAAGGCTTCTTGATTTCGTTAGTTATCGTACCTGCTACCCTTTAAGTGATAATTATTGATCACTGCAGAGCTAACGACAAACTTAGATTTGATGGATGTCAATCAAATTATTCATTGAGCAATAACACTTATTTGCCAGGTGCGCAAAATAAGGAACATTCTTTTAAATAATATTTTAATTACTCCAATGTATACCTTCACAACTCAGATCCTTGCGTGCGACACACCGACTATTTAATTTAACTTTTGTGACTCGGGCACTTCTCGGTTCATTTATACTTTAAAGACTGTTGGAGATCCAAACGGCATGAGACTCAACTCAAGCCTCAAGGTGTCAGTAGTCAATCAAATCACATCCAATAGCTATAGTTACCATGAGCCATTAGTTGCGACGAGTCACGAATTGTTAAAAATTTATTTTCTACTTTAACGTAATTACGAGAACGGTTGAGATTATTTGACTTATTGTTGAATTTCAGCCATGGGCTATGGTTCAGGAACGTGAGGTTGGGCCCCAGCAGATTACTTTGCTGTTTCTATGCAACAGTTTCCATGTCAAACCTCTCCATACTGGTATGCGCACATATGTCTATCAAAATAAAAGTTTAGATAAAAGACAATTTAGCTCTGCATTCAATAATTCGTGCATGTCAGTTACTTACATATATAAGTAATAAGTATCTTAACATTTCATTCTGAACACTTTTTTATTTTAAAATATTGACCTATAATAAACCACGTATTCTTTATCTCAGATTCTCAGTCGACGCGGAGCTGACGAAGAGGCTACTCATAACTCGTAATTAGGTTGTTACGTTGACGGATATGACGCACGTAAATGTACGTCATATTGTCGTCCGCCCTTGAAAATTATCGTCTTTTTCGTCATTTTAAGCACTTCTGTCCGCTGCAATAGCTATCTGGGACTAGTTGGAGCGTAGATTTTGCTACTTTGCTTCATTACAAGAAAATTAATATCTCTCAAAAATCTGCGATTCAGTGAATTATTTATCTTCATTGCATGATTTATAATTTTGAGAGAGACTATGTCACTTATTCAATGTGCACCATGTAGTGTGTACGCTCAGCTCGGTTTACTTCTGATTTTTCTGAAGTAAACCGAGGTAAGTAGGAGCTTAGGATTTTTTAACCACGAATGTGTAGTATTGTGTACATAGTATTTAGTCTCAAGTCCAACATTAATTTAATAAAATATAACTCAGTAGTCAGTACTCATTGCACTGAGTGACAGAGAGCGCATTTTCTCGTCGACGATAACTTGAGGTTACGGACGGACGGACAGACGAGAGAGTCAGCTGCGTTCATCGAGTAAACATCTCTAGTGTCTATCGCCCTTGATTCCGTAAAGTTAACCGGTAAATAATCGCCTATAAATCACATATTACTTGATCTTGGACTACTATATATACCACGAGTATATTTAGTGAAGGGTCCTTCTAGCGTCATAACTACACAAGCTCTCAGGCCCAACGGTCATCCTTGCGGTTGTCCTGTGGCTTTAAGTCTACCCTGCGTGGACATCCCGAAAAGAAGAAGAAGGACGGACAGACAGACGGACATGGCGAGCACAATAGTGCATTTTTTTCCATAAATGAGAAAGTGCGCTAATAAACCTTCGCTACTTACTTTGTCACAAGCATCAATGCTGATTAAGCATGAGTTTCAGCTTTTGGTGGTATGTAGGCTATAACTTGAGTAAAACTCATAACTCAATGAGTTCATCCATGTCCATCCGTGTTCATTCATGGACGCATGAAACTATGAGTCTCCGCAGGAGTTGGCAGGTCTCGCGCAGGAGTCAGCGACTGCTGAGTGCTGAGCAGTGACTCAGTGAGTGAGCACGAGCAGTTGAGCAGTATTCTCTATTCTGTAAGAGTGAGAATGTAGCTGAGTCTAGCAACTTAGTCAATGAATGTTGAGGGATTCCGGTTCGGTCGACTACGGACGTGTGTATGTGATAGAGTGAGTACATTTTTGAATCGGTGAATAAATAGAAAAGAGTCTTAATTTTGAGACGGGCACCTTAAAAGTGGTCTAAGTTACCCCATTTTACGGTACTGTGGTGGTGCAGTTTCTGGAGCCTTTGTTGTTGAGAACTCATACCCTGACAGTGACAGCATCATTGAGATTTGAGGCTACCGGCTACCGCCCATGGTGGCAAGGAATTATTGTGAGTACTTATCGGTCCACCGCCGTGCGGCGGTCTTAATCCTTTGCAAGGCCCCATGCCCTTGGCCCTTGGGCCCCTCTTGCAAGTTGTAATGGTCTAAACTCAACAGTTCGACCCCATGGTCTCATCACAACCATGGTGTCATTGTATGGTAATTATATAAGAACATGAGCTTTTGGTAAATTGCACCGCAACGAAAATGTCGGACCGCCGCAACACATGTCACACCTCACCTCACGACGATGTGTTCATGACTGTCGGAATCCTAATGTAAACATAGCCAGCTGATTAGCAGAGTGAGCGCTGATTGGTCACCACTCAGCAGCCAACTGCCTTCTGTATTCGAAACGTCGGGTTCGCTGAGACCAGGGACGAATGTCAATTTTTCACAATATAAGTTATATTCTAAATAATTATAATTAAATATTTAAATTTCTCTCTACACAACAAGCTTAAGACGTGACAGAGAGTTTGAATAAGATAAGTTGCTGGCTTTCCGCTACCCTGTGGAGATCCTCATCTTACGACTGGACATCCTCATGACCTCATCTTATTTCCTTTGTTCGTTGAACAAACTACGACTGTTCTTGTTGGCTTGCCGAATTTGCAGTAAGTACTGATTATTAATTTGAATTTCTTTCATTTCCATAACAAAAATGTCGCAATTACGAATTACGATTGATGATTCGATGATTTGATCTGATGGTGCTTCACTACTTGACGTGCTTCATCGTGACATCGGACAGCGGCAAGGGCGTTTACTTAAATTAGAGCTATGAAAAAGATGGCGACCCTCTAAGGCTCTAAGGCTTAGCCATTTCGTGTGAAGTGAAAAAAAGGAATCCATTTCACTTTCATAGTTTCATTGCCCATTTATTTAATAAGAACGATATGAAGAAGGATTTTGAATTATTGTAAAATTATAGAGCTAATTTTTGTTACCATTTAAATTTTAAATGGCTGGCGCCTGGCCGCTGCCGACGCCGAGTCCCGGCGAGTCGGCGACTAGCGTCCCAGATCCTCCCTAACCCCCAGGCCCGCTTGCCGAAATATATAATATATTAATTATAATCATTATAATGTATACTTAATTTTGCTTCCACTCTCAACTCTTGATTATCTTCATTATTGCAGAATCTTGTTTGATGTTTTATTTAGCTTACCCGTTTTTATTTTTCTGGAAATTCTGGTATTCCTGATCCTGTTAATCTTGCCTCACCTCTCAAGTCTCAAGGCAGCATGGCATGAGGCTTGATTATTTGATTAAATTGATTTTCCTGATCCTTTTTCTGTTTTTCAATTGCATCATAATTTTAAATCTCAACATATATCACTCATTGTCATTGAGGTCAAAGGTCATTGTTGAATGTTGTCTGTGGATTTGTGGCAATTATTCTGTTTGGGCTTTGCCCTGCCACTCTGGTCACTAAATCTGTCTTACTAAGTAAGATAATCAATTGTGCTTTTTGGAATTAATTAATCTTAGTTTTTAATTGAAAATTTGTTCTTTGACTTTGAGTTTCAGCCTGGCAGCCATGGCAATTTCCATTTACAAAGATGAAAGATGTTCATTCTTAATGCTTTCATTCCTTTGTTTGTTCCTCACTCCTCAGGGCTCAGGTCATCTCTCTTCTTCTAAAGACTAAAGCTGTTGCTGTAGCCTGTACATCATGGCTACCCCTACTCATCCCATACTTAAGTTTGCCTTCAAAAATGTTACTAGAATAGAATCAGTAGATCGTGTTTCATTCAATGCTAAATGTAACTTTTGTAAATTTGCTAATGTAAATCTCAAATTTGATGAAAAAAGTTATTCTAATCTAGTTCGCCACGTTAAACGTAAACATTTGAAAGAGTATAGAAAGTATCTTGGCCAAAGCATATATTCAACATTATTATATTCAACATATTTATTCAAAGCATATATTAAACATTATGTTCAGTTATCAGTACAAGATAACTTTTATATTTTTCTAATAAATTTGTTAAATGCACTTTTTTTCTATTTCATGTATTGATTTATGATAGAAAAATGAAGCTCAATTCAAGCCTGACGACTTCCATCTCGTTTTCTACCCAGCATTCAGGTAAATGTGAAAAGTGTGATATTATTATGTTGACATGCTACGTCAAACTATGTATTATGTGGTTATTGACATAACTCTTTTGCAGGTGAGGCGCAGGCAAGAGGAATTACACAGTAGGCAAGAGGAATCGCTCGTCTCATCGCCGTCATTGAAGAATAAAGGTGCCCGCGCCCGCCTTCACGCACGGCAACTTGATCGTCAAGCTTCACAAGTACCTGCAACGTGCATCTAGCCAGCAATGAGGTAAAATGGAATTGGTTTGCAATGAAATAGCGATATGCTGCGTTAGTTTAATGATTACGTTGTTACATAATGCAAATTGTATGGGTATTACTTTAGATTAAGCGCATCCAAAAAAAGGTGTTTGTTTAAGTATATGTTTTTTGGGGTGTAGATTAAGAATCTAAAATCCGTTTTTGGCCGTACCGATTTTTCCCCGATTTTTTAGATATTTTCTATAGAAAACGACAATGGGGGAACCGGGGGTTTTAGGGGGGGGACACGCCCGAGGCTCTAATTTGTCAAAAATCGGCAAAATCGGCGAAAATTTGGCAAAAATTGGAAAATTTTAT